TGTTACAATCTCTTTACTGTCTTTCTAAGAACAGGTTATAGATTACTTCTGAAATTTTATGTTCAGTGCTTTGGGGTGAAAATAAAATACAGATATTTAGCTTTTGATAAGCAGAACCAACATACTCCAAACAAAATTAAAATTACATTATGATAGATTTTGGAGTTATGACAAATAAAAGGAAAGATCATCACCCTTTTACAGGACAGACTAAGGCACAGAGTGATTTGCTTAGAGGCATAAAGGAATCATGAGGCTGAAACAGGAGGTCAGTTCAGATATGTGAGTTGTAGCCCAGAGCATAACTTCAGATAATGATTCGTCAGCTGTTATTTGTTTCAAAGTAACTTGCTATTTTTAGTCTATCTAAGGATAAAAGAGATACTTTTCTAAGCAATAATTGAGAGGTCTGTAATATTCTGACACCAAAAAACCCATAACAGAACTGCATTTTTAATTTTGAAACTGTGAAAGTTACAATAAAAAAGATAAGCTATGATTCAAGGAATCATCTGTATTTGAACACACTAATTTTAAGGCAGGAACAGTTGATATCCATGCAGTGGAGGCCAATACAGTTTCTTTGTAAACAGACAGTACTAGCAGTAGCACTTTTTCTACAAAACAAGTAATTAATTTATAAGATCAGTGTGTTGGGTTTATTTCTCATTACCCTACTCTGATTTGATTGGTAATAAATTAAACTAATTCCCCAAGTCAAGTCTGTTTTGCCCAAGATAGTAATTGCTGAGTGATCTCTCCTTGTCCTTATTTTGACCCATGAGTCTTCTACTGTATTTTCTCTCCCCTGTTCAACTGAGATGGGGAGTGATGAAGTGGCTTTGGTGGGTACCTGGTGCCCAGTCAGGATAAACACATCATGGATCAGGCCCATGGTTTTGAAATGGTCCAAAAAATAAAAAATGGACAACTCTGGAAAACATATGCATCTGCAGCACTCTGAAACTGTTCTTCGTAAAGTTCTACCTGCAAAGCAGTTTCTTTTACAAATCATATAAAAATAAGCTGATAGCAAACAAAAGTGGATGAAAAATAGCTCCCTAAAAGAGCAAGGAACAACAGAAGAGCACAGCTGAAACAAAGACAACTTTCCACACCTGTTACAACTCCAAAGCTGAATCTCAAAAATGAATATTTATTCTTTGAAGGATGAGGCTATTTATTTTGGGAAATATGGCTATACTGAGACAAGGGTCATGAAGTTAAAATAGACAGCTTCAGTAACATCTGTGCTTCCCCACTTGGATACCCTGTGACCCAAATAAACACTGGACACATGAAAAGAAAACTTATATATCCATGAATCGTTTTCATCTAAATACTAGTTTACAAACCTGGTAGATATTATAACAATATAACAATCACAACCATTGAACTACAGAAGGCAAGATGCACACTGACATTTCCAGGAGACTTTCAAGTTAAGCAAAACGAAAAGCCTGCAGTGTTAAACAGCTGAAGCGCTTTTGGTGACTATAAGGCTGTGTAACAAGCCTCTCAAAATCCTCAGTGGGATTTTCTTACAGTATTTCACACACCTCCATTAAGGGCATTACAAAATCTCACAGTTTCAGTTGTAACTAAATAAGTTACAATTAAGAGTTCTAAAATATATTTAAATTATGTTTTCTGTTTCCAGGTGAGAAGGGGGAACATTGATTGTAACGCAAGACAGTAGGGCTGGAGTAGGTAAAAGTAACCAGAGGACAAATGGTTCTATACAATTAAATTAGAATAAAACTAGTACCTTGATACTACTCACAACCACCCTCTTCTGCGCTATGTTTTGTCAATGAAGCCCATGAACAGTCAAGATTATTGACAGTGCAAGTTCAAGTCTAACAAGTCTCGGGAACTTTCAGATGCAGCTTTTTTTTAAAAAAACAACTTTGATTAGGATTAAGAGAAACCTTAGCTCTACTTAACACAGTGGAACTGCAATTTTATTCCATTTCATGTTACATTATGTTTCCTGGATGCTAAAGTAAGTTTGCTGCTATCAATCTCCCCAACAGTGTTGCCCAATAAAACTCAAATGATACTAAATGTAAGATATTAAATCACCCTGTGAAGAAGTGAGACTATTTGTAAAGCCTTGAAAGCGTAACAGGAGCACACACAGCATAGAAAAAAATTTCTATGGGAACAATTCTATTAGTTTCTAACTATTACATAAAAACAGACACAGTTTTGAAATCCTCAGCTTAACCTTTGTTTAACTGTGTTTTAAACTTTCATTGTGCACAGACTTGCCAGAGTGTGTCCTGCTATTTCTGCTTTCTGAAACATAACTTTTTGCTCAACTGCAATGCATCCTTATTTTTGTTCGCTCTTTGCAGCAAAGAAAATTGATACCCTCCTGCCATCTAGTGGCCAAAGAAACCCGTCACCAAACACTGCTGGTAGATGTTAATCCAAAACTTTTTCCAGCTCTTTTTCCCCACCAAACAGTTTTTCCTCTGCAACATTAATTAAGTAACAGCACTTTTTCAAAGAGAAGGAAATACATACATACCACAAAACTGTTGAGCAGCCAGAAGAACCTGCCTCCCCTGGCATGTTCTGAGCCTTATGGCCTCTGTGGTAAAGGAGGCTCACAGACTTCTCAGAAAGACATGCTGTAGTGAGAGTAAGATTTTAATTCAATTCTATTTACTGGTCTTGCAAGATGGATCTCCAGTCACAGCCAGAGAGTGACAAATTGAAGCTGTGAAGCTACTGGAAACAGCTGGTCTTTCTGCACAGCTTTGAACTCAGTTTCTCACCACTCTGTTCTCTCAAATTAAAATTGATGTGCTTATTTAACAACATAAGTTACTTGTTTTCTTATTGGACTTATATATTTTAATCAATACAAATGTAATGCAATGCAGAATTTCATTGAAAGTACTGCACAGCTGGTAAATACTAGGTTGCTAAAACAAAAAAAAAGGGACAACAAAATTGTAGTCCCTCTAAGCCTTTCTAGACATTTTATTTTACAGGTTCATGTTGCCAAAATGAAGCTTTGGCAATCAAGACACAGAGACACATTGCTTCAAGTAAAAGTACATCTATCCTACTATCTGGTACTGATTAGTAAAGAGTTTAAAGAAAGAAAAGAAATTGGGTATAGAACCTATTCTGACAGAAACCTGATTTAGGAACATCTTGCACCAAAGATTTTAACATTGATATTCCCACTGGACTTTTCTTCCACAAATACATCTAGTCTCTTCTGAACTTATCTAAAATCTTGACATGTGCGTATCCCATGACTTTGAGTTCTACAATGGCATTCTGCACTATGTGGAAATTATATCTTACCAGTTGTTTTAACCCTATTGCATGAACCGTTGATCGGATGTCCCCTAGATTTCCTGTGAGGCACAAAGAATGATCATTCTCTCTTCACTTTCTCCTTCATTACGGTCACAATTTTAGATCATATCCCATCTTCCTTTATCCTCCCACATGGTTCTCCTATCTTTCTTCTGGCCAAAGAGCTTTAGTTTTTATGAGACAAAGACCTTGTCACTGTGCTTGGATTTTTAAGACCTTCATTGTCAAGCACCTCATTACTCTTTAGGCAATCATCACCTTCTTCAAGAAACTCTGATAGATTTCTCAGACATTTTTTCCTACAAAATCCAAGCTGAAACTTCTCAATCTCCTCATACTTAATCTGAGCAATTTTTTACTTCTGAACAAAAATGTTTCAAATTGTATCTTCAAGGAGTTCCCAAAAGATGAATGCGTCAAACTGCTGAATAGCCAAATTATTTGAAAAATTTCTTATAGAAAAAAAAGAGAGAAATGCTGATTATTGCCTTTCCTTCGGGAATTACTAACTTTGAGTTGCATAATTTAATAATAGTATTAGTATATTGCCTCTTATAAAGAAGACCAATTCAAATATTAAAACACACATTTCATAATGTTTAAAAGAAACCTTTGAAAAATCTTCGGCAAGATATAGAAACAAATGTTACATTTGTTTATTTTTTTAAATTAATAAGACATACACATCATGAAACATATTTGAGGGATAATAAGATGAGACAGAGAAAGTACAGTGATTTTCTTAACAGCACATGAAAAGTCTTCCAAGACTAAAGCATCTTCACTTCTCTCACAGATTTGCTACCCCTACTAAACTCATAAACAGCAAAAATAAAAGTATATTCTCCATGTACTTTCTCTGAATTACACCGTTCACTTGAATGTAAATGTCCAATAGTAAAAAAAAATCAAAACCTTTCTGTAAATACATTAGCCTTTGCATTAAACACCTCTTACAAAATCTCACTAAATCCAATGCGAAGTAGCCTTTTGCTTACATTCAATAGTATTTATAAACTTTGCATGCTCATTTCTCATCTTTTGCATTTTCAATCACATTGATCTCATGTTTTCAGGAGTACATGAAGCAGTAAATAGTTCTTGCTTCCTATTGATTTAATTAAAGCCTATGCTTCAGTGAGACTACTACGCTTTAGAATGAAAGGCTTTTCATGTATTCTGTAAGGGGTTACATCTCTAGACTTGGTGAGGTTTCTTTGTGCTACAACCTAGATGGCACATCCAGGCTTTAAACTAACTTAAATAGTCAGCAGGGGATTTCAGTGATGCTGCAGATTAGCTGAGCTGAATGCAGTAAAATTAATGGCATATTTAATTCCCAGCTCCACCAAAGGGTGATGTTTAAGATGAAGGACTATAATTGATGCTAAATAAACTTAGTGGTCTCTTGACTGCCAAATAAAACTTATGGGAGATATTATAGGTCTTCCTATAGGGAGATACTATAGAGAAATGCTTTAAGGTACAGACCAGATACATTAAATCCATACAACATAAACCTTCTCCCTATCCAGACCATCTATGACATTGTGGACATGGTAAACTGAACACCAAATCCATCCTTTTTATGCTTCTATGATTAGAAGGGTAGCATGACAGCTGATACAACAAGAACAGGAATAAAAGCAGTAACTTACTTTCCAAAAAGTGAGAATCTGCTACTTCTGTCTGGCCTTGCATCAACTACATCTTCACCTCCCTCTTGATTAAAGTGGTCACTGTGCTGATCTTCCGACATCTACAAATAAAAGTGCAAGAATGTAATGTTTCTCAGTGAAATACTTCTATAAACCAAACCATTAAACCAGACACATGTGAGGTTGTTAGTTATATACTTTATAATATTCCATCAAGTAAGAGTGTCTACAGACTTCTGGCCCTGAATTGAGATGGCATTGCACATGGTCAGCCGTTTGTATTGCTTTCTGGCAGTTACTAGAAGAACATGTCAAATACCATACTCAAAAATGCAGATTAGAGTAGAACTAAAATTAATTTTATGGTGAAAGATCACAGAATCATAGAATAGAATCATAGAATAAAATCATAGAATATTCTGAGTTGGAAGGGACCCACTAGGATCATCAAAGTCCAGCTCCTGGCTCTGCACAGGACAGTCCCAACAATCACACTATGTGCCTCAGAGCATTGACAAAATCTTATGAGTAATTCCCAGATAATTTTTCATGGTCTGAAAAGAAGTAATTGGGATGAAAGCAAGGGCGACTAACATCAAAATATTTGTATTTGCAATTCTATCCAGGACTAAATCACCCATACAGCTCTCGTGTTTTCATTTACATATACAGTCAAATGTGCGTGTAAGCGAAAAAAAGCCTGTATTATCTTCCATGGATGGTTTTAATTTAATACAGATCATTAAGCCGGCAGAAAACTACCAGAAGGAGTCGTTTTTCTGATAGCACAATGCTCTGCACCAGCTCAGCGCAGGTAGAGAAGTGCAGGGGAGCTGGGAACGCAGGATTCCCAACTTCACTCCCAGCAGGATGCTCTGAGCCATCTTGCCCAACTCTGGCTCCAGATTCTCATAAGGAAAAGCAAGAGTGATTCCTACCCCTTCTCCATTTTTAGGCTGAATAAACTTGCTTTTATCATCCATTTACTGAGACTACCATAAGTTTAAAGCCACCTTGAAACCCACCCCGGAGACTTTGCAGCAGCAGCTCAGGGGCCACCAGTGACTCCATGGCTGCAGCACCTCTCCGGCCCGGTGGCTGAGGTTTAGGAGCACCCTCAGAGTAACTGCAGCTCCCAAAAGGTGGGGATCTAGATTCGGCTTTGACCAACAAATACACTTTTAAATCACCTCGTTAAAAAGCAGGAAGCGAGGAGTGCGCAGGCCGCGGGTGGGGCAGTGCGGAGGAGAAGCGCGGGGGCTGCCCGGGGCAAGCAGATCCACGGCCAGGAATGCGAGTGGGAAACCAGAGCCGGGAGACGGAGGCGCACGGGAACGGGGCAGGGGGAGCCACGGAAGGGCCGCGGCTGGGAGGGGGTCGGGGCCGGGTCTTGCCTTGGCGATGGGGTCCGGCGAGGAAGGAGCAGGAGCGAAAGCGAAACCTAAAGCGAAACCTAAAGCGAGAGCGGCGGGTGGTGCCCCCGGGACGGCACCGGGGCGGGGCGAGCTCCGGCGGCCTGTCCCTACCTCTGTCTCTGTCCCTGCCCTGTCACTTTCCCTGTCTCTGTCACTGTCCCCATCCCTGTCCCTGTCCCCATCCCTGTCCCTGTCCCCGTCCGTTCCCCGTGGCAGAGGGTCTCGGGCGCATCCCCCGGGCCGTCCTCGCTTCCCAGGTAATGACGGCTACATCACAGCGAAACCGAAATTACCACTTCTTTAATAACTATGCCCCGACACACCCCCGAGAAAGAAGAGCCTTAAGTTTCATGGTGACACGAGATTGTCTAGATCTAAGGAAATTTTATCCCCTTGTATAAACTTCAGTGGCATTTCCCCATCTTCCCAATTATTCTGTGTGTTGCATCTCTACTAATTATGATATCCTACTGTGCAGCTGTTGCATCAGGCCCAGCAGTCCAGTACATGGACTGAAGACTGGCACAGTCTTGCTAATTACTCCTGGATGTAGGCTCCGATACTACAAAATCATACACCTACCCAGCGGTGCGTGGTGTTTAACATTCACTACCTGAAGAGATTTACATCAAAGAGACATTTTTCAGTGTAACTGCTTCATAATTGGCACAAAACATAGGCATGGTAACAAACAGCCTTTTTCTTCACGACAGGTCACTGCTTCGATGTGGTGGAGGAGCGTCTGAGCAGCACGGGGCTCTTGCCGTGTGTCTGCGTGCTGCCACTGGGACCAGGCTCTGCTTCGTGGGGTTGTGCCTGTAGCTCCTGGCTGGATACGTAGCCAAAGTTTTCTCCTGAAAAATCAAACAGAATCCCGTGGTTCCTCTCATGCCACCTGTTAGCTGCTTCTTTTCAAGAAGACAGCATCACTTCTAAATCTGTAATCGGTCATCATGGAAAACAGATACACTGGAAATGCATAGATCTTCAAGTACATGCGTGGAGGGGAGAGTGCTGTCACCAGTGATGACTGGCAGTGGCACCTGACCTTCAGAACATCCAAATATGCTTTCCTAGCGATGTGTATGGGAGTTATCTAGGAAATCCAGAAGCAATTGTCTTCTATATCTCGATGAAAATGTTTATCCATTACCATCCAGCCACCACAGCCAAATTAACAGACCTTAGAAATGGTTTTTTTGTAAAGGTTATTGTATTGTTATCAAAAAAGTGGCCTGATAATCCTTGCCAATTTTCAAGAGTTTGCCAATAGAATTTGGTATGGGACACATCTGAAAAAATGGTTTCTTTTTTTCTTTTCATGTTGGTAGCTGGCATTCACAAAGACAAAATTTGATTCCTCAGTGTGCTGCAATACCTTTCTTCAATAAGTGTTAATTTTAATGCAGTATAAGATGCTAGATTTTTTTTTTTTTTTTTCACAAAATCTTGCTTGTTTTCAGTATGGAGTAAGGGAGAAATTAAAAAGACAGTAGAAGTAGGAGAAAGTTTCTTGCTTCAGGGCGTGGAGTGATTGCCACCTAGGGAAGGGTCAGGAAGAAAAAACTTCTCATGTGTAATGTTGCACAGCTGGCCATATGCATTACTGGGCAGGGGGAAGAGCCAGCAATGTGATACCTATACCATCAGCATTCCTTTTCTTATCCCTGGAGAGTCTCTCTACTCCCTAAAAACATTAATAATGAAGTCTTTGACTGGCTATATGCATTGTAGAAAATAAGTGTTTAACCACTGCGTAAGCAGCTGCAGGATGACAGTGGAGTATGCCTTTGGGAAATCGAAAGGTAGATGGCAGGTACAAGGCTTGAGGCAATTGAATAGTACCTGTCTGGAATAATAACTGTGTGCTGTGTTCTGCACAAAGTCTGTGAAAACAAGGATGGGGCTTCACTGAGACCTGGGAGACAGGTGTGGGAATACTTTTAGGATGGAGGATTTGAGTGACTCACAAGGTGCTCGCTCCTAAATGACAGTTGTTAGGTTTTTATATATTTTGCAAGAAAGGATGGATGGTTTTGATGTGTCGTGGGGAATATGGGGGCAGTGTGGTGTGATTTGGCACACCATGACTTTATGGAATTCCATAGAATAATGCATCTCAGTCAGTTTGGTGTATGTGTTTTGGTGGGATTTCTCTGTAATCAGGCAGAGATGATCTGTTGCACGTGTCATGTTTTATGAGTTTTAAACTTGGGTCTTTTTTATTTTATGATACACAATAAATTGGCATATTTGGACACTGGTAGTCTCATTGTGTGCACATGGGCTATGCTGTGCATGCTTTACACACATTTCTTCAAGCTTTCAGCTTAAATTGTAGCACATCCTCACCAGTTCTTTCTCTGCTCTGTAACAGTGATACCTTCTTCTCCTGTTGGTTCTTTTTTCAATTTCTCTTTTACTGTGTCTTGCTCTATTAGAAGCATTTGCAAAATCCCTACACTCTCAGGTTTTCCTGACAGTGGCAACAAAGGGAAAGTGTAAGCATAAATCCTTTTAGTCGTGAAATGTAAGCAGCTGTTGATTGGTTTCCAAAACAGCAAAAATGTAAAAACCGTTTGGAAGGTGGTTCCTTAGGAGTTTTTCTTTGAGTTTTAGGAGATTTTGCTCTTGATAAATCTTTTCCAACTTTCTTTCAATATTTTTGCAAGCTGGATTTGCTACTATGCTAAATTTCATTAGCATGGAGAGACTGTATGAGGCAAAAGACCCTGAGCCCAGGTAACTAATCAATCATGGGATTCAGGAAAGATTATAAAGAGGCTGATCTAGTGTTTGAAATTTTACAGGCAGCTTTTAACAGTGCGTAACACTCCCAGTTTGTGTAGTGAACCAGCACCATTTTGGGGGTTTTTTTGCAAGCAGAGAGAGGATAGGGTTGCCATAATCTGTGGTGTCTGACTTCCTGCTATTCATGTGGTTGAAAGGGCACAGCTCCTATTCAGGAGGGACAGAGGGGGTGATCTTGACTTGAATATCTCTCACGAGGTTACTTTGTGTAACTAATGTGTGCTTTTTAGATTCAGATTGAGGATGCAGACATGCTCCAAGTTTTCTGTGCAGTTAATTCAATGAATTTAAGGAGGTTGGAGAGGTAACAATGTTCCTTCCTACTAATTTGCACTTTCAAGGTACTGTCTCCTTGTACTTTATGTGTAACTACAGTACTTTTAAACCACATTGATTAAGGTTCTACTGTTAAGTAAAGCCTTTTAAGATTTTCATTGATATCAGAAAGCCTTTATGGGGCCTTACTAAAGGAGAAAAAAAGCCACAATGAGCTTTTAACTGAAGAGAAAATGTCTTGCTAAGATTTGTCAAGATAACAAACTTGCACCGGTTTTGTGATTTAATTCCTTGCATGATCAAAATGCAGTGCTTACTTTGTAATGTACAATGCTTATTTTTCAATACACTCTCTTTTCTGTTAGCAACTCAGTGTTAATCCAGGGTGGCGAAGAACAGACCAGGCAACAGGACAGTTTTGAGGTGCTCAGAAATGGGGAAATCTTCAATAGACTCCAGCAGAAACTGTGCACAATGGATGTGAGGGAAGTAGTGTGGCTGGGAAAGACAGCGGCTGTGTAGGACATTGTGGCTTACCATGCTTCTCCTCTTGAACATGCTGTAACTTGGGAGAAGCAGAAGAACTTGGAAAATGTATTTTCTGACTTCCAGCCAAGCTGGTAGTATCTGTCACTCTGAAAAGAAGCAGTCTTTGTATAACTTGAAATGAAATACTATTTATCTGTGAAATAAAGGGCTTCTAGCTGTCTGAGAGGCCTCTTGGAAGCGACACATGGTCTCATTCCTTTCAGGGACCACTAATAAGCTCTCTGGGTGCACAGTGTACATGGGGTCTATACACTTATGATCCACACTGGAGTTCTGTCCGGATGATCACTGTTCAGGTGGCTCCTGAATAAATTATTTGTTCTGTAGTTGCCAAGACTTTATGTTTTGTGTGGTTCAGGGGTGTCCTGCTTTTAGCACCTCTCCAAACTCATTTCAGGGGGTCTTAAGCAATGTACTGCCTGTGCAGGCCATGCATCTTTTATTCTTGCTAAAATGTGAGATAAAGGCTCTAGTATGGATTCAGGTAGTGCGAAGACAACTAGGACTATTGAGAAAATATACAATATAGTGACTCTTAGAGTACATGAACACAAAGAGGCAGCAATTGGTAGTGTGCCAAGTGCTAAAGAAGGAGGGAACAGCCAGGCCACTGTGACCCCAATATAGGTCACTTGCATAAACAGAATGGCAATGTGGGACAAGATGCAAAGCTATGTGAGAAGGGAACTGGAAGAATTCCAAACTAATTTTGTTCACAGGTGTGGGTGGGATAAATATTATTGTGATGTAACTTGGTCAACAAAAATCGCTCTTGATCCTGGAAGGAATAACATGAGGTAAATCAGCCGTTATTTTAATACAAGAAATTATGTTGTGTAGGCATTTTTTTAAAATGAAAAATGCATCTGTTTATATACTGATATATCACTTTGAAAGTCCTCAAGTGTTTTCAGGACTTTGTGCCACTGCTCTTCAGATTAGAGACTCTATTTTCAGCACACCAGTTGCTGACAGTACATTGTGCCAGGACATTGTCAGCATTCAGTAAAAGGAGTAATAATAAGTTAAGCAAAACTGCATATCTCTGTGGAGAGATGAATAGGAGGCTCTGTAAGCATACCTGGAAGGTTTAGCCAGAAATTATTTTGATGGAATTGTTTGTAATTTATAGAAAAGGAAAGTGCTTAGCAATATCCCAGGACTGCTGCAGGCATGGGAAGTGGTGCAGGTGTATGGATGACTGAGTAGACTTTTAATCAGATTGAGATAATTCTTAGCTGTGTCCCAGGGTTATGGAGCCCTGCAGCTGGAAGTATTATGATTAGGTGAGATATAAA